AAAAAAAAAAAAATAGGGAAGAGTGGAGACACCTTGATACTGCAAAAGAACAACCATGGACGGAATGTCTTTTAGAAATGGCATTTTGATGGATGCCCTCTTGAAATTCTCTCTCCCACATCTTCTCTGGAGGTATCAGTCATTCTAGAGGGAGATAAGGCTCTGGGAAATGACATGAAGCTTACTTCAGTTCTGAACAGAATTTTCAATATTGCTTATAAATATCAGAATTCTCAACATACCTGGAATTTCAAATTTTATTTTGCAATAGTCTTTTGATCCATCTAAGTCTAACTTATTTACTTTTTATTTTTCCAATTCTGGATTTCCCTGTTGTAGTTCTAAGTGTCTTTGATTGGCCATTTGCCAAACTGCATGTTTTAAACATGTCAAGTGTAAAAGGTATCTTGGGAAATCTTGTATCTCCTCCTATGCTTGGCACCAGTTTAAATACCAGAGCATTTGTGAGTTCCTTTTAGGTTTGCTAGAACTTGTCCATAAAACATCAGAACTTCCCATTACAAACCTATTATAAAATAGGTTCAAGTTCTGCTGAGCCTAAACATGCTTATAACTAAATGTTTATTTACGCTTATGTCCCAGGTAGGGGTACAATTTTAAAAGTACAGGGAGGTTTTGAGGAGAATATGACAAACACTCACCACTCAGAATTGACATTTTTCTTCTACCTACTTTAGATCTTTAAAAAATATAATTGAAATAAAACATTTCTGACAAAGTTGAAGTCCCTTCTATACCCACCTCCAGCCCCATTGACCTTCTTCCTAGCTGAGATATAACCTTTCACAAGCTTGTAGTTACTATTTGTTTATATAAAAATATAAAGAATGTATAATATTTATAAAATATTTAAACAACATATCATATTAAGGTTTGGAAATTTAAGGATTTACATGTACACTGTAAAATTATGCAATTCACTTTTTTCCTTCACTGTTTCTTTTAAGGATAAGGTTTTTGTTGAGAATTAAGATTTGTATCAATAATGAGTATAATTAATATAATTATTAAGAATAAAAATTTATATTGTGTTTGATACATAGAACTGTTTCATTTTATTAGCTCCCTATTGCTGCATAATAAATGATTCCAAAACTTATTGGCTGAAAACAACAAACATTTATTATCTCACTCCTGTGAGTTAAAAATCTAGGGGTGGCTTAGCTAGCTCAGGGTCCCTTATAAGGTATAGTTGAGATGTTGGCTGGGGCTGCAGTTATTTCACGGTGTGGCTAGGGAAGGATTTACTGCCGAGCTCAGTCACATGGCTGCTGGCACGCAGTAGGTTCTCACCAGATGCTGACGAGAGATGTGATCTCCTTGCCACATGGGCTTCTCCATGCGCTGGCTGATCGTCCTCATGGCAAAGCAGCTGGATTCTCCCAGAGCAAGTGGTCCAAGAGGGAGAGAATCAGCACCCAATATGGAAGTCATAGTCTCTTTACAGTCTAATCTTGGAAGTGGCAGCCTACAGTGTACACTGTATTCTTCATCAAGAGCAAGTCAGTAAATCCAGCTCATACTTAAGTGAAAGGGATTACACAAGGCATGGACACCAGGAGGTCTGGATAATTGCAAGTTATCTTAGTAGCTGCCTACTACAGTGTGCTTTCTGGCTCCCCCAATGATTCACATACTAAATACAATCCCTCCCTCCTAAAGCCCCCTCAGATCTCATCTGGCGTCACCATACGCTCAATGTCCAGAAGATCCAGAATCTCACCATTGAAATCAGGTCCCAGAGTGGATGAATCTGCTCAGGTGTGGTTCCTTAAATATAGTTCCTATACTACAACACTTCTAGATCTGTAAACTTGTGACAGGGAAGAGACAAGTCATCTGACTCTCACACACTGAACACACAGTAATGGGACAGGCACAGGATAACTGCTATGCACAGTCCTCTTCTAAGGGGGGGAAATGAGAGGCACAAAGAAGTCACACGTCCACTTCTAAATTCTAGCTGGGTAAACGCTGGCAGTTCCTTGACCAGGTTTCAATGCCCAGGAGTACTCCAAGGCTCTTGGCTTTGGCCTTTGGTCTCCTGGCTCTGATCTCTGAATCATCCTTCCTTTTTCATGAAAAATAGCTTGAGTTTGTAGCAGAAATCTCATTCTGTACCAACTCTGTATTCTTCTATTCAAGCTGGAAGTATTTTTGCATATGTAACTCTTTTTCCTTGCCACATGGGCTTCTCCATGCGCTGGCTGATCGTCCTCATGGCAAAGCAGCTGGATTCTCCCAGAGCAAGTGGTCCAAGAGGGAGAGAATCAGCACCCAATATGGAAGTCATAGTCTCTTTACAGTCTAATCTTGGAAGTGGCAGCCTACAGTGTACACTGTATTCTTCATCAAGAGCAAGTCAGTAAATCCAGCTCATACTTAAGTGAAAGGGATTACACAAGGCATGGACACCAGGAGGTCTGGATAATTGCAAGTTATCTTAGTAGCTGCCTACTACAGTGTGCTTTCTGGCTCCCCCAATGATTCACATACTAAATACAATCCCTCCCTCCTAAAGCCCCCTCAGATCTCATCTGGCGTCACCATACGCTCAATGTCCAGAAGATCCAGAATCTCACCATTGAAATCAGGTCCCAGAGTGGATGAATCTGCTCAGGTGTGGTTCCTTAAATATAGTTCCTATACTACAACACTTCTAGATCTGTAAACTTGTGACAGGGAAGAGACAAGTCATCTGACTCTCACACACTGAACACACAGTAATGGGACAGGCACAGGATAACTGCTATGCA